CCCTTGGAATCAGCTCCTCATTTTCCCCTTCCCCTCCCCCTCCCTCCTTTATGAACCCTTGATATTTTATAAGTTATTATTGTTTTTTCATGTCTTGCACTCTCCAATGTCTCCCTGTACCTCGTTTGTTGTCCATCCCCCTGGGAGGGGGTTATAGGTAGGTCATTGTGATCAGTTCCCCCTTTCTCCCCCCACCTTCTCCTTCCCCTCCTGGTATGGCTACTCTCAATATTGGTCCTGAAGAGTTTATCTGTCCTGTATTCCCTGTGATTCCAGCTCTTATCTGTGCCCATGTAAATGCTCTGGTCTAGCCAGATTTGTAAGATAGAATTGGGGTCATGATAGTGAGGGGGAGGAAGCATTAAAGAGCCAGAGGAAAGCTGTATGTTTCATCAGTGCTATACTGCACCCTGACTGGCCCATCTTCTCCCCACGACCCTTCTGTAAGGGGATGTCCAATTGCTTACAGATTGGTTTTGGACCTGCAATTCTTTTGACACCTTTTCCTTTTGCTACAAGTACGGACTTGGTAACTGAGCTTTCTCAAGCGTTACTGTTAGAACAATCACCAGAAAAGTCTCCTTTTTCTGATTTAAGAGCAGATTGAAAAGGACCAAGATGATGGTGTATTTAATTGAGTCTGTACTATAAGTCTCCGAGTGTGAGACTAAGTGAGTAAAAGGTCATGCTGAGCTGCTTTGGAAGCTCTGGGTTACCCACCTAGTGTGTATTTTGTTGGTTCTTAATCCCTGGGGTACTGTGGAACCAGTTTTTGTTACTAGTAGCTGGAGAGACCGTGGTCTTGAGTTTCTAACGGCAATATTAAGCCCAGTTGCTATTTAGTTGATTGAGACTCATGTTGACCCAGTGTGTGCCAGAGTAGAACTACACCCCACAGGGTTTTCAACAGGTCTCTAGGGGCCTTCTCAGGTACCTCTGGGTCGACGTGAACCTCCAACCTTTTGACTTGCAGCAAAGTAGGTTACCATTTGCAGCACCTAGGAGATTGCACTAGGTATAGAGGGATATTAAAGATGTTCTTTTTCTAAAAGAGGCTATAAGCACATACTAGAATGTACATGAATGAAAAAAATGCTGTGATATTGTGACTCTACAAACACTAAATGTACTATTTATTTTTCTAGAATTTTATGATTCTGTTTATATAAGCTGAAAAGTGACTGATAACTGATTTTAAACAAGCCCAATAGCTTACTAGAATGGAAGGAAAGGTAAAACAAGCAAATCTAGATGGCCAAGACTTAGCTCCGTGTGAGGAAAGAGGCCTGGAGAACAGACTGCCTCCAATTTCCCTGCCATCTCCGCTCTCTTGTCTCTGTGGGTTATATCACCTCTCTCTCTGCCCGCCAGCCTCCTCCACGTGGCCACTGAAAGCCCAGTCACCTTACAGATCTCATAATTTTACAGGGACTAAGTTATTACTTGTGGGTAAAAAACTTGAAAATCTTAGCAATGACGTATGGATCCAGCCAAAAAATGCCTGTTCTTGTATCAACTACCTAATTTTGGCCAGGGTCTTAAACGAACGTGGTAGGTCTTGGGGTAGTCATGTGGAAGAGTTGCTCACGAGGGGCCTGTGGAGGCTCTCTGAGGAGAATCTGAGGTATCTTCTGAGAAGAATGAAGTGCCTGGGAAAAAGGACCTGGTGAACGGACAAGCGTCGTGTGGATGTCCACGTTTTTACCAAAACTTGTGGCTATTGTGAGATAAGTAAGTGATCTAAAACCCCCACAAACCAACTTTGCTAATGAGTTGATTCCAACTGACAGCGACCCCATTAGGACAGAGTAGATCTGCCTTGTAGGGTTTCTAAGACTAAATCTTTAGGGACACAGACTGCCACACTTTCTCCCATGAAATGTTGGGGGTGTTTGAACCATCGATCTTTGCTTTAACAATTGAATGCTTAACCACCATGCCACCAAGACTTCTACTAAATGAGTGATACAGTGAGTAAATTACCTACATTTGAACCACTTTTTCTTACAGAATAGGAATTTAGCCCATTCATAGACATTACCAGTATATGCTTAGGATATTCTTAGTTAACAACGTCTTTCTTTGGACTGCCTAAGAGTTGTTGAGGTGCCATTGACTTAATCCCAGCAGTGCTCAGTTACTTTCTGATTTATCTCTTACTATGAGTTGAAATTGATGTGATGGCAGTGGATTTACTTTTCATTCACAGTTTTGTACCTTTGTTTTTAGCAGATTTAATCAGACATACAGTTTAAAAGTACAATTTAAATGGCTTTTAGTATTACAGTTTACAGCCATCACCACTGTGAAGTGTTTAACCAAAGAGCACGTTTCACATCAGATATTGTCACTTCAGATGCCATGTTCAAGTTCGAGGTCTCCAGGGTTTCCCTCACTTCAGAGCATCTGGCCACACACTCAGAGACGACCCTCCAGGTTAGAGTGTGGGGCCCTAGGAAATTAAGAGCAAGAAGAGTTTATAGTTTCTGGAGAGCTGACATTGATACAAAATGCCCTAGATACTGAACTGTATGTCTCTTAGCAGAAGGAGACACAGGAATAAAATTATAATGGAAGAGGTAACAAAGTATAAAATCTGGAAAAGAACCCTTCTGACAGATTAAAATGAGCGGTAATGAAATATTAGGGACTTTCAGTGTTGAGAAGGACACCATGGAGCCCAAGTCAGGATCTTCTCTCTTATGTTCAGATATCAAAAGGCTGGACTTGAGAAGAGAGGATGTTTCAGAAGTCTGCTTTGGGAACCAACAAAAATAATATCAAAATTAAAACAGTTGCCCAGTCATGAGGTTCTGGCCGTGTTTTCATGATAAGTTCTTGGTTTCACAGCAGAAAATAAAGAATTTGGAACAAGAGGGAGAGTGGGGGTGGAGTATGCAGATTGGCACCGTAGAATCAAAGTTAAGGAATATTGTCATTGGGGTGTCTGAAATTGCAGCCCCCCAAAAAATCCAGAGAGAAGGGAGCACAGAGGTAAGAGAAGGCAGCATAGTGGAGGTGAGTTAATGATTGGGATGCTTTCCAAAGATCAGAAATTAGAACAAAAGTTACAGTGAGCATAAGAAATATTACAATTAGGAGAATTTTAAAATTAAACTTTGGATGGCTTGAAAAGCTGTTTTGGCTAAATATGTATAATGAGCTCTTGTTCCATTCTCTTATTTAGTTACTTTAGTCAAGAACTTAATTGCTAAGAATCTTGATAAGTTGGCCTTTAGTTTTGTGTTATAAATTGTTTCTGGCTGCTGCTTACATTGGCCGTTTCAGGTTTTTTAAATTAAGTTTGTTGCATCAGCTGATCATCTACTCACGACATCGGGTCAATTGTGAATCATAGGGACCCTACAAGACCATGTTGAATTTCCCCTTTGGGGTTTTCAAGACTTTACAGGATAAGACAGCCTTCTCTTTCTCCCCAACTGACCACAGTTTCAACAAAGTAAAATTGCTTTTCAGTTATTTGAAATAACCAGACTGATTGTAAAATTTTTAAATGATGTGTATCTTTAATTGTATCCCTTTATTTCAGATTACAGTGTAGAATCTTGGAAGTTCTCCCTCCATCACATCAAAATGGTTTTGCTAATGGGCATGTCAGCAGTGTAGATGGAGAAACTATCATCATCAGCGATAGTGATGATTCAGAAACTCACAGCAATTCTTTTCAAAATGGGTGAGTGATTTTTATTTTCAAGTTTTTTATCATCATCCCATTGAAACAATTTTTTCTGTTACTCTCCTCCATTCCTGTCTAGGGCTATCCTGATATACTGGCTCATCTAAATAATCTGGTTTGATAACAGATTATAACTTTCAAAATTGAAACTATTTAAATTTGTTAACTAATTGACCAGTCAGCTGTTTAAGAGCAATTGAGTCTAATGTTAATTCACTTGTACTTAAACACTTTAGTTTACTTAGATAAATTCTGTATTTCATTTATTAATGTTGATTCACTTTAGAAACTCTGTAACTTCCTAAAATTCAATTATTTGACAACCTGGATCAATTGTGTACTATCAGACAGAACATTCATGTGTATGTGTAAGGGGGACTTAAAACAGTTTGTGGGAAAATTCCATTGTTTTAATTCCATTTTTCCACAACCTCTTTGAAACTCCGGCATAGAGATTGGCACTGTCTGTATGTAATTTAAAATCTCTGCTGAGCCCTCAGCTGATTAAAAGTCCTCGTACATGTTTGCACTCAGTTCCTTCTTCTGTTCGAAGTCTTCAGTGCTCCCTGCGGCCTGTGGGGCATCTCACACTTTAAAACACTCTCTTCAGTCTACATTGTGGCTGTCTTTCCTGTTTCAGGAACCTGCTATTAAGAAATGTCAAGTCATCACTACCCTTAGTACAAAGCAAATTACTCACTGTTGTTTTGTTTTCTGTCACATCGATTCTGACTTACTGAGCAACCTCATTGGATGGAGTCAGCTGTCTCCGATGGTCTTGTACACCGTGTTCTTTACTACAGGCAGAGATGGCAAAGTCTTTTCTCTCTCCGACTCTGATGGATTAAAACCACTGACCCTTTGATCAGCAGTGGAATCCTTCACCTTGTCCCAATCCCAGCTCACCCGCGCTTAATGCCATTGAGACACAGCCGACTCACAGTGACCCTTGAGGACAGGATAGAGCTGCCTCTTGGGGCTTCCAAGATTGTAACTCTACTGGAGTAGAAAACCTCCTCTTTGCACCTGCAGAGTGACAGGTGGTTTAGCAGCCCAATACCTAACCTTGTTATAGGTAGCATCTTGTAGAAGATCTCTATTTGTGAGTCTTACTTGTGCTAATTATAACAGGCTTATCACAAAATGTAATTAGATTTGGGCATAAAAATAACCAGTCATAATCTGTCAAAATATTCTATCCTTTTTCTGGAATATAGTTACCTAGATCCTTGAGGGGGTGTGGGATGAGTAAGCTAGTAAGTGTATTCACAGATATTTTAAAACTGCTTATGAGCCTTCATTATACATGTACATAAAATGGCTAATTGTAGACTGCTCCTGCAGTATACTGAGTTCCCAGGGTACATAGTCATCTTTGGGTCCTTATTCTTTTGACTTATTCCCCTAATTCCTCATTTGAATAGTGAGTTTACTTCTAGGTTTCTCCCCTTGGAAAAAAAAATTTAGATTCTTCTCATGTTTCAGTAGATGGGTTGGGGGGGCGGCGAGGATGCAACAGTGTGAGGCCCTCACATCCATGTGGCAGCACTCGCACATGTCACTCATGTGTTTCTCAGAGCCGGTCTGGAAGGGTAAGATGGCCATATTTGCATTATCACTGCTGAAGAATGGCCTTAGAACATTTGCCCTCATGTTTTGCAAGTTAGACTATGGCAGCACTTTTAGAACTGACCCAAGTGTTCAAAATCACCCCCAAGATTTTTAAAAATAAAACAGTTTGATGCATTTGGGGGAACATATTGATAATTCTTTTTAAAGCCAAATACATCATCAGCAAAAGTTGGAGATTGGGGTTTGACTTTTCCTTTTCCACCCTCCCACCCCCGCCCCCAAGTTTTCTTTCCCAATCCAGCCATTTCTCTGTGCACCATGAGTGACGCCCATTGCCTGCTCTGAGCTGTGCAGTCTTCCTCCCTGCTTTTTTCTAGTTGTTCCTCTCATCGGTCCACACTTGCTGACCCTGAGACTCCTGTCTAACCTTTTGAGAGTTGTTTTCAATTTGACCCCTAGAGAGCTCTTCAAAGAGGATAATGCTCAAGGCAGATCTTGTACTATTGTTTGGTTTGCTAAACTATTGTTTCTTTTTTAAGATGACCTGGGATTCATTTTTGGTTGCAGGTTTAAGGTTTATTTCAGGGCATGGTGTCAGGGCTTAAGCCCCCCTCTGTGGCTCCAGGACACTTTCAGATTTCCTTCTGCATTTTCCACCCTTTGGATCAAGATGCTTTTTTAGAATCTTTGATCAAAATATGAATAATGGTAGCAAGCCACCATTCACTTCTTCCGGTCACATGGCAAGGGAATCCGTTTGTAGAAGTTTGTGGCAATAAGCTACACCTTCCATTTCCTCCTCCTTCCTCTAGTCTTCAAGGTGCATTAAGTCCAACTGTTGTGTCTTGGAGGGCTATTTGTGAGCGTATAAGACTGTAGCACTCTACCACTAGGAGGTAGAACAGAAGCACTAAACACATCATTAGGCCAGCTAACTGAAACCATGACCCTAACTTTATAAGCCAAGGATCCTAATCTCATGAGGGGTTTGGTTGTTAAAAGGCTTTAGATTTTTAGACTATTGCATTTACTCCAAGTGTATTGGATTATTTATCAATCAATCAATCTGAAAGTTGATGGTAGCATCTGATTAAGCTAAGCAGTAGCAGTATATTTACCTCTGGGTCAGCTTTTTTTGTTGGGATTTTGGAGAGTAGGATTGGCGTTCATATTCTAAACATGTTCTAGAACTAAGCTTTTGAAAGAAACTGTTCTTCTCCTCAGAGTCTGCTGTAAGTATACTTGGCAGTCTTGGACATTTTCGTACTCACTGGCTCTTAGAGAGCCTAACATTTACAGAAACTCGGATACCTTTGCCAGTGTTGGGATATTTAGGTCGATGTTATTGTGTCTCAGAGTCCGTTCCAATTCATAGTGACCATGTTTGACAGAGTTGAACTGCCCCATAGAGTTTCCTCCACTGTATAATCTTTTTTTTCCCCCCACTGTATAGTCTTTATGCGAAGAACTCTTTAGGTCTTTTCTCCCATAGAGCCCACTGGTGGATTTGTATTGGCAATCTTTCAGTTAGCAGTTGAGCACTAAATTATGCATCAACAGAGCCCCTTAGGCAGATATTAGTTAGATTAAGATACACCATAAAAAAATTATCTTTACCTGAAAATAGTACACGCAGTAGAAGACATTGGTTTTTTTTGGGGGGTGGTGGTGGTGGTAATTTTCAGAACCATTAGGGAAGCTAATTACTTTGGGAACCTATTGAGGAATACGTGTCTAGTACATATTATAGGCCCTGACTTTCTGCCCTATAATATAATCTGGCTCTGATGTTAACTTATCTAGTTGTTAGTAAGATTATAAAGTCTGAGTAGTATTTTTACAGAAGTAGATCTAATTGTTCGACTAATTATAGTCCAGGTGTGCAAATTTAATGTGTGAGAAATAGGGTAGCATTTTAAAGCTCCAAAAACCATTACCATGAATCCCTTATCTTTGTGAGCTTCAGCACTTGGGGGATTACCATTGTAGACTAATCATGGCAAATGTTACTTAATAGTTTCCCTAAGACAAACCTTTCTTCTAGAAGCATAGGTTTGTTTTATAATATCTATTGTGCTTGTAAAAGTTTTAAAAAATTATTTCTTTGTCAAATTCTGGATAGGATAGAAACAAAAATAATTCCCATTATGATAAAATAAAAATAGAATTAAAGCTTAGACACATAAGTAGGCACATTGAAATATGTAAGTGAGGCAATAGATAATTTTTTCGTAAATAAAAGATTTGTTTGGCGTAATAGGACAACCTGACATAAACATTTTGAGCATAGGGTATTATTGTAACCAGGACTTTGGGTGGCGTTGGGGTTATGAATTGGGCCGCTAACTGCAAGATCTGAAGTTCGAAAGCACCAGGCGCTCCTTGGGTGAAAGGTGGAGCTTTCTACTCCCTTAAAGAGTTACGGTCTTGGAAACTCACAAGGGCAATTCTGCCCTGTCTCTGGAGTCACTATGAGTCAGCATTGACTCGATGGCAGTGAGTTTGTTTTGTTATTGTAGAACTAAAAATGGGTGTGTAGTTGACAAGAATAAAATCAAGCAAAAAGTCAGTCATTGTTGAAATCACTGGAATTAGTCTCAGCTGCTTAGGCCTAATCTTTGGGAAAACAAGGGGAAGTAAATAAATAAATTGGGGGTTCTTTTCTGTGTTACTTTTGAACTTATTATAATAAATCTATATTATATGAAACAGTTCTGTTGATCTCCCATGATTGTACATCTTTGGACAGAATCTAAGAAGTAGTATATTCCATATTGAATTTTTTTATATGTATTATATTAAGTAAATATGTGAGTATGAGTGTATTGCCAATGAAAATAATATTTTAAATTCAATCTACATTATATTTGACTATATGTATAAAATGGCAGTGATTAAATACTAAGCTGATACCTGTTCGGGAAGTATTAAGATAAAACTCTTAAGCCTATTGTCTTTGAGCAAATACTGCTGATTTATTAAAACCCATTTTTCTTGCCCCCTCCCCATTTTAAGAATTCATTTCATTGAAGTTCCCCATCAGTGTTGCTTTTCGAACATTTTTCCATTTGAACTATTCTCTAAAATGGTGCTTCTCAAAACTGCAGCCTTTGACCTCAGTTTGGGGTTGTGAAAATAATAATGAACTTTAGTATAAAATATTAGACTGCATACTATATAATAAATGTGAGTGTTTAAATATATCTCCTGGTTTATGTGGATAGTAGGTATCGATGCAAAGATACTTGCCTACTACGTGGCCTTTCAGCTTGAAATTCAATGGTGTTACTTTACCTGTAAATACTTGTTTTATTTGTGTGATTGTCTAATATGTACTATTAGTGCTTCATTCTTTTACACCTGAATAATATTTCATTATATGTCTGTACCCTACGGCACTGGTGATTTAGTAGTAAAATTCTCAATTCTGGTGCAGGATGTCTAGCGTCAACTCCTAGCCAGTGTGTCTTCGAGTTCAACCACCACTTACCTGCTAGTGGTGGTGTTAAGTTTTGGGGGTGGTTTTCCTCTGTTCTTGCTTCTCTACGTAGAAAGAATTCACATAGCAGAAGTGTGGGTACAAGTGAAAGTAAAACTTCTGATAGCTCATCCTCACAGACAAAAAATGATGGCTCCAGAAAGTGTGGAGGCCACATAGGGAAACAGGGAGAGATTGGGACAGGAGAGGTGGCGGAACCAAATGAGAGCACATCCTATCTTCAGAAAGGGGGAGAGACCCGGGAAGGGGGCGGAGATGGAACCGAAAGAGAGATTTGCGGCCGAGCCTTTGATTTTATGCCCTCCCTCCCTCCCTGACTGGTCTCCCACATGCATTGGTGGATGAGCGCAAGTGTGTGTGTAGCATAGCATTGCTGGCACTTGGAGTGGGCATGCAGATGGGTGCTCTGCAGAGCACTTTTCTCTCTCAGGGTGCCAGTGAAACACAACCTTAAGACTGTCTAATGGCTCACATGCTACTTACCGTGGTCTGCTTCTGAGGGGGCCAGTTCTGACGGCTTCCACAGCTTTACTCGTGAATGGTGGATCCACGCACTCTATCCTGGGTCTTTAATAGCAGTAGGGGTAGGACCTTTCCAGACTGGCTGGAGCTGAGATTTTAGGGACCCATCCGTCTAAGTTTGGATAAGAGCTAGATCTTCAGGAAGACACAAGGTGCACAGTTTTGTTCCCCCTAGGTCTTGGTAAGCCCCTATTGACAGAATGTCTCCTGGCATGGGCTGTTCTTACTGCATGTTGTTGTATGCGGGCACTTCATCTCTACAGCTGGCTTTGTTACAAAGAAGGGTCACCTATGTAAAAAGTTATAAAGGATGACACGGGGCTATTCTGAGACGCAGCAGAGCTACTGGCAGTATGTCCTTCCAGTTCATTTGAGTTGTAAGTGTTGATTAAATTTCTACACAGTGGAGATGACAAGTTATACTACCTAGGTGTTAGGATAGTGCTTGGAGTCTGAGAAGGAGTAGGTGACCCCAGCTAGGAAAAAAAACATCCTGCCATATCCATGCCCAACGGAGGCTCCAGACTGGTAACAGCAGTGGGCCCTCCAGGCTGGGCTGGGCTGCCTCCGCCGTGGATAGCTGTTGGAGACTCACTGACGGCCTGCTCTCCTCTTAGGTCTTTCCCATAGGACAGAGCACTGCTTGGTGGTCAGTGTGTTTACAGTGATAGCATGACCCTCGTGGAGACTATTCTCACTGGGACACTCCTGTGCCCAGGGACCCAAACACTGGTGCACATTGAACTTGGTGCCCAGTGCAGGGATCTTTGGAACCAAGGAAGGCAGTAGATGAGTGCTGATTAGCTATGGTGGCCAGGACCTAGGTATGCCTAGTTTCTGTCCTTGTCTCCTCCTCTTGAGCCTGACCGAGCCTATTGCTCCCCGTCTCTATTGTAGAAAGTGGCATTGGCTACTTTCCATGTACCTGGAGTACCTCTTCAAAGTTCCTGCACTAACTTCTGGAGCTTCTTCCAAATGACTGATGTAGCCCGTATGAGAAACTTTTACTATAATCTTCCTTTCATGTGTGTGGTGTGTTTAATTAGGGCTTTTCTCAGTCAGTCTAAGAAGTATACAGGACTTTACTTAGATTCCTGGTTGATAATTGATTTAGATTAATCGATGGATGGCCTTTTGCAGCCCTGGCTTTAGTCCAGCCTTGATACACCTTATAGTTCTCGCATGCCCACCTTTCAGTGGACTCATTATAAACCCAGGTGGGGGCCCGCCATTTCTCCTACTGGATATTTCTCATTCATCACAGGTAGGTCATCTGCAAGTTTCTTGACCTCCTTTAATTCTCAAAATCTGTCATACTTTGTTGTAGACTTATCATTATATCCTTCCAGGCCACGTCAGAGGCCAAGGGGAGGTGCTAAAAGACATCTCTGCATTGTTCTGGGTTCGCTGAGTAGCTGCCTAGGTCGCTTTTCATGTGCTTGAGTTCAGCTTGGGTGAGAGGTTTGTGAGTCACCCGGGAGCCAGGTTCCACAGCTGTTTCCATTAAAGGTAGAATTTTGGAGGAGCCCTTTTCCTTTTCAGATTTCTTTGGGGTTTGATTTTGTTTCTTTGGTTTGGCTCTTGTGGGTCCAGCTAAGGGAAGGGGGAGGACAGGGGGCAGTGTAGTTGGGCTAGGGGCTGAGGGACTCTTAGCTCCAGGAACTGGGCCCTTTATAGGGTCTATGGTATATTTGGAACAGAGGTCTTTACTGCCCCTCAAGAGGAGAAATTCCTTGACATACAGGGCTTCAGCCCACTTTCCTACCCTCTCCTAGAAAAGCTCTAACTTAAGGTGGGGAGGAAGAGTGTTCCATGCTTTGTTCAGGATACCCATCACCTAGTTTACACTGGGGCCAGGCGGTCTTGTAGAAGAATACTAGTCTTCGCTTTTTCAGTATTTGTGGGTCAGAGCTAGACCAGTTAAGCAGGATACAATGCAGAGATGTTCCCTGAGGAATGGACTCCTGGTTGCCCCTCTAGGAAACAAACAGCAAAAGGTTAGAGAGCCCAGTGTCCTAGGCCTTAACTGAGGTTCCTGTGCCTTGGAACTTGAGGGCCTCAGACAGACATATCTGCCTTTGGCAGTCAGGACTCAGCCTTAGGCCTTTGGCCAAGCCCCAGCTGTCTTCTAGAAAGCAAACCATGCATTAGGGGACCACCAGCTTTTGGGTGGCCTCATACCAGTTTGTGCGGCGTGGAGCAGTTGCCCTCTCAGGGTGCAAAGGACCTGTCTTCTGGCTAAATCTGATTGTGGTCTCCTATTGGGAAATTGGGTCCTTGGCTATGTATTTGTTAACCCAATGAAATTGGAACCAAAGATGTAATCAGCCGGCTATGGGGCAATGTACCGTGTAAAGAGGAAGGAGACACAAGCAGTGCTTACGAAATCTCTTGAGGGGTCTTTGCAATGGCAGGTTCAGCCATTTTCCAGTGACCTGACTTTCCAAATGCTTTTGGGCCTATGCTAGAGCAAAAAAACCCCCAAAATACAAAAACCAGAAACCCCCCACCCACAAGTAATTCTGTGAACTGGAGGCAGGCTATCTGGAGGAACAGGAAAACTAATCCGTTTAGCTCCCATCACACATGGATGAACCAGGGGGTGACTGCTCCTGGGAAAAGGGAGTCCATTTTTGTAATATGACAGTAGAGGATCGTGTCCCTTACTTTAATACACAGAATTTTAGAAAAGCCAGAGGACTGAACAAAGAACACGGGAGGAATGAGTAGACTGGCACCGAGAGACGAATGGATTGAGATTAAACAGCACAGGCCAGTAGCAGTTACGCATGTTGAAGAGATGGCACCCGAGATGGGGGAGGGGAGGTATGCCAGGACAGAGAAGGAAGGTGGCAGACGGACTGGGCAGCAGGAGTGGAGAGCCATCGTAGCTGCATAGGCGACATTCCTTAAAGTATTATCTGGGATGTAGTAGTGACCTAATGATTTGCTGGTTGATTGAATAAATTACAGAAGTTAAAAATATATTCTCGAAGAAAAGAAGTTGGTAGGAGTGGAGGAAGGGATTACATTGGTAATCTTGCTGTCTGGTAAGCATTGGATTACTAACTGCAGGGTCTGTAGTTCAAACTCATCAACAGTTCTGCTCCAGTAAAGACCGTCTCCAAAATCCTGTATAGAGTCGCTATGAGATGGAATTGACTTGATGATCATGGGTTAACAATTCATAAACCAGAGTAAACTACATTGTTTCAACTTTACACAACTGTGAAGAAGAAAGTTTATGAGAAAAACCAAGGGGTCTTTGTTATTCTGCAGATTTATCTAAGTTAAACTGGCTACTACTATTTCCTTACTCAAGGAAAGTTTATTGAATGAGTAAATTAAAATACCTAAAATATAATAGTACAGTATATTCTTTTGACTCAGAATATTGGGGAAATAATATGCTTATAATAAATTATAAGATACTAGCTAAGATAATAAGTACCAGTGCAAGCCTATCACTATTTCTTAGGAAACTATGTTTCCATTTAGAATCTCATGTTTCCAATTAAATTATTAAAACCATCTGTCTTTCTCCTTTTTTTTAGAAAGAAAAAAGATGCAGTTGATCCCTTGTTGTTCAAGTACAGGGTGCAACCCACTAAAAAAGAATTGTATGAGTCTGCTGTTGTTAAAGCAACACAAATTAGGTAAAATTCACTACTTTATCATATTTAAGGTAAAATAAGCTATTTCTGTTAAATTAAGGTCTTATATGAAGGATAAAAATATCTTCGGCAAAACATGAATAGTGTTGCAAGTGATTGCTTCCCTTTTTAAAAAAATAAGCTGTATCTTATGTGCTCATAGACTGATGAATCTGTTAACTCCTAAATTGTGTCTACCGTGGACAGACATTAAGCACAGTCCTATGGAAGGAAGGGTTCCTCAACCGCTCGTAACGCCTGTGTCAAGAAGGTGGCTGCTCCACAGCACTCGGGTGCTGTCCCGCAGGGTGACCACGAGGCACTAACGCTGTGGCTAGGCAGAATACAGAAGGGTATTTTGTATTTCATCGTATTGATTTAATTTTAAATGGCCTCATGTACTGTTGATCAGAGGGAGAGTGTCTATCAATAGTTAACACATTTCTTTCAAAGTTAACTGCATGATGCTGGGGCATAGCAGTATTCAAGCAGAGCTCTTACTGTCATGGAAATGATATTCCAGGAAAATAGTACACGTTTTGGGGAAGGCCATTACTTTTAAAATGTCTGTATTATGTATTCATTCACTCATAGAGTTTGTGACTTGAGTGCACTGAATTAAGTTGAAGCATTTACTTTCTTTCTGGACCCTTTCCAGAAATTGTGGTGGTGGTGGTGGTGGTGGTGGTGGTGGTGGTGGTTGCTGGTGGGTTGCTGTTTTTTAATGGAGGTGAAAGGAGAATATTAAATGATCTGCTTTTAGGGTCTAAATTTAAGTCTCTTTCATATTTCACTAATATATTGGCCAGCATATGAAATTTAAGCACAAAATGATCAAAATCTGGCATTGCCCATGTTCAACTCTGTTTGTAATTTCCATTAGAATGTTAATTATGCGATAGGTTATATCTGGTAGTCTACTGATATATTTTATTATTTTTTAATGTTAATGGTGATATTTGTAGGCATGATCATCTAATTGTCTAAAATTTGGTCTGCTTACTGTAATATATTTTCTTTTAGATTTACTTATTTCTAAATGTCAGAACCTGTAGTATTAAATTAAAATGGTGACGGGAGGTGGAGGGGGTGAGGGGCAAGCCCCCACCCGCTGCTTCTAATACTACCCACGGGTTCGGTAATGCACAATTAAACGGTTGAGATATAAAAGTATTATATTAAAGTCATCGAGAGCATGAGAGAAAATACAATAATGCAGTCAGACACATTACATGGTAGCATTGCTCACCTCAGCCCAGCTTGGTGGTCCACATGGAGAGGGGGGGAAGGGAAGGAGGGCAAGGGAACAAGGGAGAGAGGACTGAAGAGGAGAGGGGGAAGAAGGGGGAGCCAGCAGCAAGGAGGAAGAGAGTCAGAGAGGTCAGAGAGCTCTATATTGCTGACTCACGCCTATATACCTTTTGGGGACATGCCAGCCCACTAATTACAGGTAGAGACATACGTCACAGGGAGGGGTTACACTATAGGGTACACAGTAATGAGGGGGTGGTCTAGGGGGTGGTCTCTGGGTCTCCATAGGAACCATTATCAGTAGGGTGAAAACTCCACCTACAGGAGCCTGTCCATTGTCCTCAGAGGCAGGGAGCAGGCCCACCCCTGTGGTGGGATGAGGCAGCAGTCTGGCAACTGATTGCCCTCAGGGGAGGGAGTGCCTACGCATCTGACCTCCCCCCACAAGAACCTTAGCAACAAAATAGGTCATTTTCATACATGTACTGTGAAAGGGACTTTTTGTTATAAATCCACTCACTTTGATCTTATAATGTTCTATTATTTCTACATAAAAAATTTTTAAATTCTGTACATAAATGTTATTAGATCACTTAATTTTATTTCTTAGACTTGAAATTCAGGTTATGAAATTGCAGAAAGTATGGAGTTTAGGTTGAATTCTTAAATACTAACACTTTCTTCTTCCTTTGCCCCTGTAGTCGGAGAAAACACATGTTTTCCCGTGATAAACTTAAGCTTTTCCTTAAGCAACACTGTGAACCACAAGATGGAGTCATTAAAATTAAGGTAACCAGAATGGTGAAACTTATTTGTTGAAAGAAGGAGTGAATAAAGGATTAATTGCAGTGTTCTAAAATTATAAAACTGCAGGAGTAATGTTTCAGAGCCAGTGTTCAACCTTCTCATAGGTGAGAATAACTGGAAACTGGGGAGGAGGAAAAGGCACCGTAGAGGAGTAACTTTAGCTTTGCACTCGTGTTCTGAATAATAATTTCAAAGAACAGTGTTAAAACCGATCCTCTTGGCTAGATGTGTCATAGACCAATACTAAGCATAACCAACAGAGGGAGAAAATCACCCTGCGACTGCTCATGTTACACATTAAGCCAAAAGTCCAATGGTAAAAGTGAAACTAATTTTTGAAGAGGAAGAAATACTTAACCCATTTTGGGATAGAGTGGCAATATCTAACTAAAACTAATGGGATAGAAAGATAATGTGTATTTCTCACAAAGCAGCTAATGAGATGAAAATAAGATTTGAACATTTCATTGTACGTTAGTTTACACCAAAAAGAAATAAATCATCCAGCTGTTGAATATTTAATAGGAACAAAAGAAAAGAAGCACCAAGATGACACCAATTTGGTCATCTAAATTTATGTAGCCTTAAAAATAGGAGCAGATTTCAGAGGCAAGTGCTAGGGGAAAATACTGTCAGTGAATACGGTGGCGAGCTGAACTAATTCGAGAAGCATCACCTCCCAGCACAGGAACTAGGCAAGTAGACATAAACAGAATCTCAGTAGATGAAAGTTAAAACAAATGATAGAAGACGTATGCAGAAATGTCAAAACTTATAATGAAAGAAACACAAGTTAAAATATTAAGACATATATATAAAGACATATTTTATAAAATGGAAAATAATTGAAAGCAAACCCCCAGAATGCATTATTGCCTTCTTGTCTGGTGAGCTTCGGTTTCTGTAAAACTGCTTGTTACTGTGTAGAACTCTCAGACCTTTACTTCTAAAAAAAATTATTATTAAATAGCATATATATTTACTTGATAAGAAAAGCATATGTAAATGAAAATATAATGTGTAAAGGAATGTATACATGCTTTTAATGTATTCACAGAAATGTAATATGTTAAAGAATATTTAAATCATGTTCTACTTGTGGCATCGATTATCAGATTGCCAGGTAACAGTTATGCATACATCGTTGTGATAAACAGAGCAACGGCTGGTGCTTAGTAGGTAGTCAGCAGATATAGGACTATCTAACTGAGCATATATCTGAAAAAGCCAGGTGGCAATTTTCCTAATTTAGAGTAGGTAAAGGACATCAGGTATTACACAAATATGGAATAGTGTAGCTTAATAACTAAAAATGAAAGGCATAGTAAACGTTTTTCACTTGAGTACAATAGATTTATTAATGAATCTTCTGGGATATTTGCACACACATACAAGCACATATAATCCAAAAACGACAGCAGAGTTTGGTGCCTGCTATTGGTGAGCATTGACGATTGTTAGTAGTACCAATATGAACCTGAAGATGTTTATTGTGTGTGTGTCTGTGAGAATAAGGACCTTTGGAAATTAGTGCAGTAAAGTCTCTCTTAACCCTTTTTAAGTATTAAAAAAAGCCACCGATGTGCTTCTGTACATAGTGATGGGTAGTTCTGTGCTCTTAGTGGCTATGTGGGATTATAGATTATCGTATTTATGGACGTGCTTTGATATAAAATATTAACAGCTACTTGATTTATTGTAATAGATTTACTATAAAGTTTTCCATATTTTGTTAGTAATTTAACATTTTATGCCATTTTCTGTATATTTCTTGAAATGTATGAATGAAGAAGAGTGATAATCTTGGTCATTGAAAAAATATCTTAAGAATTGCTAATCAAAAATAAAAATTCAAGATTGGACTATAGATGAAAGATGTGGACAAGTTGTGGATACAAACTAAGTGGAGGAACTCTTGGGCTATCACTACAAACTAGAGAGGAAAAATCTAAATATTCGGTATTTGGGAAATGGTTGGGCCAAATAGGAATATATTGGGTTACTCCAGCAGACCTTTTAATGGCAAATATATTGACATGCATGTCATTTTTTAGTAGTTCTAGATTCAAAAATGATAAACTCTCTTGAGATTCTTTGTGGTGAAGTAATTGTTTGAATTGAGACTTTCTTTCTGGTAAGCTGATTACTGTAAATAGTTTTTTAAAAGTCCGAGTGAACCAACCAGACTTTGTCACTACATAATAGTGCGTACCATTCCAATGCTTTGAGCTGGCCTTTAATGATGTCGTCTTACTTGTTAGAGTGAATCCGTGTACAGTGTACTCATGTGTTGTTATTGTGCCCTGTGTTTTTTTTTATGAAGGCCTCCACTCTTTCATTATATAAAATAGAAGAACAAGATTTTTCTTATTTCTTCCCTGATGATCCACCCACGTTTATCTTTAGTCCTACTAGCAGAAGAAGAGGCAGACCTCCCAAAAGAATATCTTTTAGTCAGGTAAGTAGGGGATAGATAAAAACTACATTTAGTTGGTTCTCAAATTGTATTCAAAATCAAGAGCAATGTTTTCCTTTATTCCCATAGCTCAGAGGAATCAACTTTCTTTTTAAAAACATGGGTGTACTCTGTAGATTAACTGCCTAGCAGTGAGCCTTGTAAAAGTTTCAGGTATGAATTAGACATTAGCCTCTCGTGAGATGGGTTTTATACCAAGGCAAAAACACAGACAAGTAAGCAATTACTGAAATGTATGGCACGGTAGAATTTAGGGGCTGAATTATGAAAGAGCAATCAATTTTAATTAAGGGAGATGATAGAGGGCTTTCAGAAAGCAATAATGCAAAAAAAAAGCAATAATGCTTGAACTGGAGAAAATAGAAGATTTCTGGTGATGAGATAAAGAAATAGGAAAAGCATTAAGACAGAAGACAACACCACAAAGTTTATAAGGAGCTCATTTTTATGACATCAATGAGTAGAGTAGAATAAACCCAGACCTGTTGCTGTCATCTCAGTTCCAGTTCACAGTGACCCTGTAAGTACATAACAGGAGTATCATGGAAAATGAGGCCAAGCATTCTGTAGTTATTCTTGGGACCCCCTTAATTTCTTTGTACAAGAAAACAATACTGAAATGGCCTTCACATTAAAATGTGCTTTCCATAAACAAATGTAACTTGCTTAAACCTATTTGTCTCACCTAGAAACTGAAAATAGACTTTAACCCCAAAATGGTGACCTTAATCCCAGCAAATGGCAAGGCACTGATTCAACGTTCATATATAATGAATGAAGCCTTAGAATGCAAAGTAAATCGTCCCAAAAGAAAATTATGAAAAGAGGAGCTGATGTCAAGGGCTCAAGTGGAAAGAAAATGATTTGAAAATGATGATGGCAACATATGGACAAATGTGCTTGACACAATGGATGTCTTTATGGATTGTGACAAGAGTTGTAAGAGCCCCCAATAAAATGATTTTTAAAAAGTAAAAAATAAACTATGAAAATGCTTGTATTAGAGTGAGATGGACAATATAGATCAGGTGTTCTCTGTTTTCTTCTCACTTCCCAATTTAACATCTCCAAACCCTTAACAGAGGAACCCTGGTGGTAGAGTGGTTACAAGTTGGGCTGCCAGCCACCAAGTCAGCAGTTCAAAAGCACCAGTCACTCCACGGGAGAAAGATGGGGCTTTCTACTCATAAAGAACTGCCCAGTGGGGCCGTTCTACCACATCCTATAGGGTCTCTAGGAGTCAGAATTGACACTCTGGCAATCAGGAATCTCTCCAAGCCCCCACCCACCCCTCCCTTATGTCACCCCCATTTCCCAATTCAAGGAACAGAGAGACTGACAATTTCTGGTGTTCACCAAACTGATGTAACTAATGTACAGGAAGCAAGGAAGCAAGTCTTTTAAAAATCTCTTCCAGGATCTCGTTCCTCTCTTTTTTCTGTTGCCCTTGGGGCACACTTAAAAAATTTTCTGTCCCAAATGAAGCTTGTTTCACTCTTATACATAATTTTCAGTGTAATAAATGGGTTTGCTTTCTTTTGTATTTCTATTTTCTGCACCATGTGGTCAATACAGTGCCTGGCCCATGCTAGGTATTCATATTTTCAAATGAATTATGCTTTATTACATTGAAAATATAAAGAGGTAATAATATCATAAGCAAGATAGAGACATTATTCTCATAAGAAATAAAATGAAAATAAATGTAAGCATTGTTTTATATTGGCTGCAAGAATGTTTGTGGCATGTCTTTCCCCTGCTTCTTTAGTGCTTTATTTACACCATCTAGTTGGTAAGCTAATTGGAAGATTTATTTTTCTTTCTGTAGCGCACATTTTAAAATCATGTCCTCTCCCCCATGGTCCCTCCATACACACCCTTTTCCCCTGCCTTTCTTCTGTCTTGTCTAGACGTCTCTCAGTTATTTGTTCTGGGAAGTTCTTGTACTAATTTGTAGAACTTTAGAATTAATTGATGTTCAATTTGTTGTTAAAATTGGAGTTATGGATAGGTTCAGATATGTTTTAGTTTACCTTTTATGCGTTACTGTCTTAGTATAAAGGACATGTATTGATGTAGGCATATATATTTTTTTACTGGACAAGAAAGATTAGCAGTTTGTAGATGTGGTTCTACAACTTTAGCTTCTTGGTTTGTTTCTCAGGAGGAGATCATTGCTAATAAGCCAGCTGTTCCAGGATATAGGAGCAAAGCTAATAAAGAAAGGGACAAAACTATAAAACAAGAAGAGATGAAGTCATTGGGTAAGTCTCAACATTCTCCAAATGTGGTTTAACTATAAGAAAGGACATTAATTTTTACTGGTGCTAGGTGGGGTATGTTTCTAAAATTAAATATTCCTGGTTTATTGTTTTTATGTAATTAGCCTTTTTCCCCTCAGATAATTCTTTTAAGATAATTGAGACCTGTTCATCTCTTACGGTGTTATTTCAAAGCATAGCATATCCCCATTAAATTGATACAATGCTAAAGTCAACACAAGTTGGTGTTTCCAAGGCTTGCAAACTATTAGAAGCCATCACTGTTTCCTAAATGTGAGTGAACCGATTGATCATTTGGAATATTTTAAAATGAAGATTCAAAATTAGTAGTTCTGGGTGAGGGATGAGGTTCTGCATTTCTAACAAGGGGGCAGCTCACTGCTGGGCCAAGCTTTGAGTAGTAGGGCTCTCAGAGCTTCCCAGTGCAGCGCCCTATACCTAGCCAACTTGCTGTTCTTGTTTCAGTTAGCTGCTGGAACGAGGAAAATTCCAACCACTGTTAATCTACTCATCTCATTTAATATCAAAATATTTTAGGTAGTTTTTTGGTTATATTAACAAAGCCAATATTGTTTGACCTCTACAGCTTCTGAAAAGGCTAAATTAAAAAGAGAAAAAGCAGATGCCCTGGAAGCAAGAAAGAAAGAAAAGGAAGATAAAGAGAAAAAGAGGGAAGAATTGAAAAAAATTGTTGAAGAAGAGAGATTAAAGAAGAAAGAAGAAAAAGAAAGACTTAAAATAGAAAGAGAAAAGGTACTCATTTGAATATGATAGCTTCTTATATTCAACTTAAATTAAATTTCAACAGCCTTTCCTTTCATTCAAAGGTAGAGTTATGCGTAGACCGCTGATAAACAGCATTGGTTTCTCTTCTTGAAAAATCTAATGAATTAAGCTTCAAAATGGATCTCCAAAGGGTTACCCCCCAAAATGGAAAAAACCTTCACTGGGCGGATCTTTCTTAGTATGCATTTTTTCCCTTTAGGCGAACAACTCCCTGTGAGTTAGTGCATCCAGTGGTATCACCTGGGAAGGTTCTCTCTGGTCACAGTGAATTTTTTCTTAAAAGCAGTTTCGCACAAACCTCGTTTTTTGTGATGGCCAATTTAAGAGTACAGCATGTGGCTGTGAAATTTTGTTTCTTGTGGCATGGGAGGTGTGGGTGTGGATAACTGCAGAAAGTGTGATGTTGAACCCAGCTTATAAGGACAGTACTAGGGGAATAACTCAAGTGGATGAGTCTCTCATTTCAAAAAAGGTGAAATGTTGATTGATGACAAACCTTGTTCTGGACCTCCTGTCAGCTTCTGAACAGAGGAAAATGGCCTACTCATACTGCATTTGGAGTTTGTTCTACCAGGTCAGACTGATAATCAAACTTTCTATTTGGAGGTTCTGGAAAGATTGCACAACAGTATATGACAAAAAAGGCCTGCTTTGTGGCAGATGGAGGACTGGTTTTATCACCACAACAATGGACCTGCTCACGCAGCCAAGTCAGTGCAACAGTTTTTGGTAAAAAAAACCAGCACGCCTTTCTTGCCCCTCACACCTTACTCCCCTAACCTCTCTCCTTGCAATTTCTTTTTGTTTCCTCAAATGAAGAGGGATATGAAAGGACAGCAATTTGACAATGTAGGACAGGTGAAGAAAAAAATGAGGGAGGTGCTGTCAACCATCCAAACAGATAAGTTTGGAAAATGTCTCCCAAGAATGGAATCTCAGATTTGACAAATGTTTTAAGTGTAATGAAGAGTACTTTGAAGTTGATGAGGTTGTTTTATAAAAAAATTTAAATACATAACTTTTGGGGAAAATTCTGGGGTTTTTTGGGTACCCCCTCATATATACTTTTATACTTCTTTTAAAATGCAATTCTAAAAATTAGGAATTATTACTTAGACTTCCAAATTTAGACGGTGGTATGTGTATGAGGTAGTTTATTGTGCCAGCCTGGCTGATAAACGCAGGTGGGATTGACTGAAGGGCAGAGAGATAAATGGCTTGGTGAACCTTGCCTTTCTTGTCTCTCGCTCTGTGATCATCGGACCAGTGTGCAGCTGCCTTGCTTGTTCAGTGCCTCAATTTAATGGCTACACTGCCTGTGGGACGCCTAACCTGTGGACTGTGTCGCTGTAAGTTGAGGTCCCTTTAAGACTTCTCTGGAGCTGGGGACTGGCAGTTGGCGACCTGCCTTGTGATTGGCTGCTGTGCTGACATAGCCTAGCTCTCTCTACAAATAGAGGAAGATCTGGCATCAGATAGAGACTGGAAGGACTGCTAGTCTCTCAACTTTCTCTCAGGGACGTGAGTTGCACTAAGCCATTTGTAGTGCTTTCTAATTTAGCTGTTTATTTCTTGTTTTGTATATTTATCTGTATATGATTTAACAGTTCATTTCTCGTTATATATCTAATTATCTTTATAAATAAATATACTAAATTATCAGGAATTTGGTTTTATCTCTCTAGAGAACCCTAACAGTGTAAAACTTTTAAAGATAAAATACGTGGTTAAAATTAGAATGGATTGTTTTGCAGAGGAACCCTGGTGGTGTGCTGGTTCCCATTTGGCTGCTAACCCCAAGGTCAGCAGTTTGAAACCGTCAGTGAGTTTGGCTTTCGGTTTTATAATAATGTGGTGTTTCAGCAAATCTTGATTATCATCTTCCTTAAGAGACTCCTACAGCTGGTTACTAGGCTTTCTCCAAAGCCCTTTTACAGGTTTCTGTGCGTATTCACAGGTACTGCAAAGCAAGGAGGATGGGAAAATATAATACATATTTACTTCAGAAAATATAGAGAGGTGTACCAAACACTACTGTATTACTATTTCACCCTCTGTGTGTCTCCAGGCTGTTGCAGGTTCAAATTAGTTTTGAAAAAAATAAATGTATTGAAAATATAAGGTGAAGATTTCATTTTAGGCAAGTCTAATCATTTTTCCCTTTGTCAGTTCTAATTGATAGGAAGCAAAGAGAGGGCTGATGTAGGCAAACATGAATTGCATTTGACCTTGAACAACATTGAGGTTACGAAAATCCTGTGGGTGTATGGATTGTGATAAGAGCTGTATGAGCCCCCCAATAAAATTTTAAAGAAAGAAAGAAAGAAAATCCATGTGTAACTTTTGACTCCCCGAAAACTTAACTAATAATAGTCTGTGATTGTTGACTCAGAATAACATACTTTATTTTGCAAAATAAAATATTTTGTGCAGTTTGGGGGCCCGTGGACTACCTGCAGCAATAGTTTCACAAATTTCCTTTTTTTTATGATGGTCCTTACACTGGATTCATTTATCTTGAAGTGGCAGGAAGCAGCAGCTGCGGTGCTCAGTCTACAGTCCATATCAAGCAATTCAGCTTTTTCTTACAATGCTATGACTTTGCTTCTTGGGAAGCGCTTCCAGCATCGCCAGTGGCACAAGTATGGGTCCCCTGGTATTATTCAGGCCTTACAGTATTGCTCTCAATATGAAAATACTCAAGAACTGAAAGAGATCACTTTTTACTGTAATAGTTACTAGAGAGACCAAACACTCAAGCAGAAGATGATTAACTTCATGACATTTAAAAGAGAAAGTCCTTATATTAAGAGGAGATCCACACAATTCAAATCCCTGTTACTCAAGAGTCAAGTGTAATGTTAGTGTAATGTTCACTCAGAAGCTCCTGTGTGCCAGGCATTTTCCTTCTTTGTAACCATTCTGTCAGATAGGTATTGTTGTTATGAAGGCTGACTAAAACACACAATGCTGAATCCGAGTCCCAGAGCTTTGTGGTACTGATGCTGCTCGTTTGGAGACCACACTAGCAACCATGGATTTAGACCAGCGTTTCCCAAAGGGGATTATACTGCCCTGGGGGGCAAGGCTGGGACACTGGAACTTTCCAGGAAGACTGGAGAAGCAGATAGTACCTATATGCTATCCTGGATTATGGCCTATAGTCCAAAAGTTTTTAATTGCCAGGGGGCACTGAGTAATTTTTATTTTCCTGAAATGAGGTCAGTAGGCCAAATAAGTTTGAGAACCTGTGATTTAGAATAACAGCCTCAAGAAGCCAACAAGTAGACAGGTAAATGAAACTAATCTATCGATGAAGATAAGAAATGAGACCACAAAAGTAAATATCTCTGCCATTTACTATGTGAAGAATTTCTTTAAAAGTTTTGTAAGAGTTTTTATTAACCTGTCTTAGGAAAGAGAGAAGTTACGTGAAGAAAAGCGAAAATACATGGAACATTTAAAGCAGTGGAGTAAACCTAGAGAAGATATGGAATGTGATGATCTTAAGGTACTAGCATGTTGTGGTATTAGTCAAGCACTTGTTCTGTATGTACTTAATGGCTTTACTGATGAAACTTCCCGTCCCTTTTTCTTCAGACTTAACTGAGAGAAAATAAGCTGATTAAGTTAATATTCAATATTGGAATAACAGGCTTTGATAATGATTCTTATTCTGCAGCAATAAAGGACCATTTTGTGTGATTCTTGGTAGTTCAATAAGCACCCAAGGATGTGCTAAGTAAGAAGTCTGCCTTCCTCTGTATATGACTACCATCTCCAAACCAAACTCATCTATGTCCACGTGTAGAATCATTTCTAAAGCAGTAGATTATGGGCCAATTCTATTCTCTATCTAGAGATAATATTGGAAAGTTTAGCACAGCTAATGCTTTGACCGTAGAATATACATTAAGAGCCCCTAATAGTAATGCAGTCGTAGATACCCTTCAGCCTAAAGTTATACTTCGTTTGAGAAAGGGGAAAGTCACCAGGGATTTAGTAAAGTTGGAATAAAGCCAAGACAACTATAATTTTTAAAGTTTGAAGGTAGTATTGATAAACATTTAGGATTAAGAACCACTAATTTACATGGACTCATCTTTATTAAGTAAAGAATCTATTTTGTCTAACTTGTGAGATTTCTTTTCCTTGGTTTTGTAGGAACTTCCAGAACCGACTCCAGTGAAAACTAGACTGCCTCCTGAAATCTTTGGTGATGCTCTTATGGTTTTGGAGTTTCTTCATGCATTTGGAGAACTCTTTGACCTTCAAGATGAGTTTCCTGAGGGAGTCACTCTAGGCAAGTGTCTCAGTTACTACTATTGCTGTGTGGCCTCAAAGAGCTAAATTATCTCAAAGTTCTGCAGGTAACAGCTTTCCAGTTCTTTCTTAGGGTCCCTGTGAGTTACCGTTAAAAAAGTGGCTGGGCATGGAGCCAACTGAAGGCTTGACTAGCAAGATGTTCAAGATGGGTTCTTATCACGGGTGTCTGGTGTCTTGGTGCTCCCCTGTGTAGCCAGCAGAAGAGCCGGCACTTCTTATATAACGGCAGAGGGCTACAAGAGCACAAGCTGTCAGCCCTCTTGAAGAACAGTCTAGAAGGACCCAGCACCCTCTCACAATTTCCCATTGGGCAGCACAGCTACAGGCCAGCCCAGATTCAAGAGGGTGAAGGAGTAGATCTCACTTCTTGAAAGAGGTGTGATATATGAGTGCAAAAAGATTAGAATTTATGCCGGTCATATTTGGAGAGAAGTTATTCCTACCTTTTATTTGTAGATTAGTTTTGCCTGTGTACTTGCATACTTTTACTTTGTATGAACATCATTTATAAGAGAATTAAATTAGTATGAGGAAGAACTAAGATCACATTTTAGATCTTTAGGTGCCAAATAGCAAACTCCGTTTCTTATGATCTGTGTACCCATTGCCAGCAAGTCAATTCCCACTCATGAAAGATTTCTGAGACACCCATCTCTACGGGAGCAGACAGCCTCTTCTTTCACCATGGAGCGCCTGGTAGGCTTCAACGACCAACCTTGCAGTTCGCAGGCCAGAGTCTAACCCGCAGTCCCACCAGGCCTCCTGTAAGACCCTTGACGAGAGGCTCAAAAGACAGAATTAGCAGATCACTCATAGGTTTATAAGAGTCTATTCTTCAGGAAGCTTCACAGTCTCTCTGTTTCTCTTTGTGAGCCAGGTACCTTAACAGACGAAGAGGGTCTAAATAAAACTGGTTTAGGTAAGCTAAGGTAGAAGCTTAGGTAGAATGAAGTTTGAGTTAGAACTTTTTGCTGACTATTACCTCCTGCCGTACTATTGGTTCAATTGTATGTCCCACGTATCTCTCAGAAGTAGAGTGCCAGTGGTTTCTGAAATCTTTGCATTGCTAATCATATTAGAATACACTTTTAAATGTGCCCCACTTTAAATATTAACTGTAAACTTAGATGGGAAAAATTGGTCTACTAAGACTATTTCGACTTTCTTGAATGTGATGATTTTGGCTTATGATTTTATTTACTGTGATTATTACCAGTTGGTTTTTAACTTTTATGTTAGCTACTACTTGTTCTATTTTCATTAAATGGGCATTTAAAAATATATACAGAGGCTATTGATTAAATAAATGTTTGTTAATCCAATGGAGTTGTTTTTATAGTATGTGAACAGAACTTTAAATTCATTTTAAACATTTTATTCACAGAAGTGTTAGAGGAAGCTCTTGTAGGAAATGACAGTGAAGGCCCACTATGTGAATTGCTTTTTTTCTTCCTGACTGCCATCTTCCAGGCGATAGCTGAAGAAGAAGAGGAAGTAGCCAAAGAGCAAATAACTGATGCTGACACCAAAGGTCAGAGTTCAAAGTATTGTTGATTGAACTGAGAGTAGCTTTCTAGCTTTGAAGGGTATGTTTAAAATAGAGTTGTTGGGTCTCATTTCTGAGTCATTTACCAACAACCTGTTAGGAGTTGTTTTTAAACCTTTGGTTTTTATGCAGCTTGTGTGATTGATGACCTTAAGGATCTCACACTGTCCCAGCCCTATCACCTGGATGGCCCTGCTGCCATCTCAGTTAAGACCGTCAAACAAGACCGTGTGTGTGTGTGTGTGTGTGTGTGTGTGTGTGTGTGTGTGGCAAAAAATCGTGTCAAAAACAAACACGAACAGCCATTTTACAAAAACAAAGATAGAAGGGTAAATATATATTTATGAAATATGTAACGATCCTCTAAGAAGACAGGTACCAGCATTAAAGATTAAATTTCTAAGTCAGTGTATAGCAAATATTCCTTCTCTTACCTATTAGGTTATGTTAATAAAGAATAAAAGTATAGACTCATTGATCAGGTTTTGCTTAACTCACAATTTTTTTTCTTTTTAAAAAAAATATTTTTATTGGGTCTCAGCTTTTTTTTTTTTTTTTTAATCGTTTTATTAGGGGCTCATAATCATAATCCATCCATACATCAATTGTGTAAAGCACATTTGTACATTCATTGCCCTCATCATTCTCAAAACATTTCCTCTCCACTTAAGCCCCTGGCCTCAGGTCCTCACATTTTTTCCCTCCCTCCCCGCCCCCCCTCCTAATTCACAATTTCAATATGAATTTTGCCATTTTCGAAGTCTTGATTTTTAAAAAAGGTGATAAATTGTGTTGGAAAATCAGCTAGTGTTGAGCTGATATCAAAAGCTCAATAGAAAGTAAATATCTAGAAAATGATGATGGCAACATATGTACAAATATGCCTGATACATTTGATGTATGGATTGCAATAAGAGTTGTAAGAGCCCCCAATAAAATGATCTTTTAATTTAAAAAATCAGCTAGTGTTAGGGGGGATCTAAATGACTATTGGTTTTTCCTATTACATTTTTTGTCCATGCTTTGATCATAATTTTTATATCTCTGCTCCTGAACAGAACTGTCTTACACAACAGTCTATCTCTGAATAAATATTGGTCACTTTGTTATTAGCAGCACATTTTTACATGGTTATTTTAGACTTGATAAGGGCCCGAGATGCTTTCCTTGCATCTAGCTTCATTTTTTTTCCTCCCTTTTCTGCAACAAAAAAATTCCCCACTATCTTACTGAGAAGAATTGAATTTTCATAAGCAAATCAATACTCTTGTACTTCTTTTTTAGCTGGTCATATAATAAAGTTACTTCTAACAAAGGAGAACTCATACAGAATGAGTTATCTTAGTTATGACAAAACTGTAGTGAGCTTATTTACTGAAAATCACAGAACTTGTATGACATAACTTTCGGTTATTAATTAAGTTGTCGAAAGACACATGGCTTATGAGGGCTAAGATAACAAACTCCAGGCAGTCTCATCTAGAATATCATAATAACTATATGCTATATTGCCTCACAATATGGCAAAGAAATTAAGATTTTTATTATTTGTTGGCAAATCATTACCTATAAAATTAAGCTGTCCTGAAGGAGATCTGTTTTCTTTTGCCTTTGATCTCTGTTTTTATATCACATCTTAAAATTTTGCCCAGTAATCTTTAAATTTGTGTGAACTGGTCCAGTTCTCTTCCTTAGTCTCACATCATGAACTTAAAAAGCTCTTCAGTTTATGAGAACAAGAGTGGCCTCCCTGCATTGAATGGTTGGCACATTTTCTGGATATCATTGTTCAGTGTTGGAAGTGTACCTAATTCTCGATTATGACGAAGACAAATGTAATAACCTCCTGGATACACTTGGGCTATGTACACAAGTGACTCTCTCTAAACAGATTCAGACATTTCGTTTTTCATGTGGTAGGTAATGAAATAACAAAATGGGCTTTGAAAAGTTTGTGGGAAAGTTCCGTTATCTTTTTGTTTTCTCCGCAAACATGTTGAAAACCCCTTGTCTCATTGTAATGTTAATGGTCACTCATTCGCCCCAGAATATCTGACTTCCTCTGTGTAGTATAGATGGAGTATGGTAGTTACTGCAACGGAGTAAAGCAAGCACATTTTCACAGGTGGTATTTAAGATTGTTCTGACTTTGAGAGTGCCTATCAACTTAATGTAGTGTTGTAGGTAAAATGAAAATTCAAAACGATTTAGGTCTGATAATTCCCTGGTGGGCTAGATTCTGGTGAAAATAACTTCGTTATATATTCAAAGTCTAGTAAGATAACTTCTCCTTTTGTACCTTTTACCCTCCTTCTGTGTTCCTTTTTGCTCTAAGTAAATTTTTAAAGTGTCTGTGATTGTTAGTAGACATGTTCCCATAGCTGCCTTTATCCCAAAAGAGTAGTTTCGCTGCTCTCCAAGGGTTATTTTACCCGCCTGTGAACTTTGGGGAGGGAGTCGTGCAGTACAAAGGATACAAAGCCCTCCCACTTCCTTGGTGCTGTTGCAGGAGAGTCGGAAAGATGAAGAGCCAGGTGCTCCTCTCTGTTCCCCACCTTAAGGAAGAGGGTATTTTTTATGTCTTTTTGCTTGGGCTTCCAAGAACTATATGACTTGAAGAACTAGAGAACTGGTGGTCTAGATGACCTATTCCTTTAAGAAGAGTGAAATGCCAGTTAAGTGACTTGTCTAAAGGCTTACATGATTAGGTACTGGCATAGCTAAAACAGGAATGTGTATTGCTTGATTTTTAGTCTGAAGTTGTCTGTTGAACTGTGATACAACAGGGTTTTTCGTAAGCTTCGGGTTTTTTCCCTACAAGTTTTATGACTAATATATTTTTATTCAACTTAAATATTTAAACTCAAAACCAAACTCACTACCATCGAATTGATCCCGACTCACAGTGACGCTGTGAGACAGGGTGGAAAGACCCCTGTGAGTTTCCAGACTGTAACTGTTTATGGGAGTAGAAAGCTGCATGTTCTCCCTCGGAGCAGCTGGTGGATTTAAACTGCTGACCCGTGTTTACAGCCCAACGTGCAATCCATTACACCACCAAGACTTTAAGGATGCTTGTGACACCAGATTTACTCTTTGCTATTTGTAAGTTCAGTGTCTTCAAAGCAACCTCAATTTATTTGGAAAATACAGGGCATCCGCCCATTGTTTTTCAGATTAGAGCATTTTCAAAGGAAAAGCAGGAAGCTTTAGTGACTAGGTGGCAGCTGTGCTGTCTTGATAGTTCTTTAGCCTTTCAGTTGTGCTGACAATGTGATTATTTCAACTTACACTTTGCTTGTTTCAATCTTAGCTGTTGGCAGGTGACTGGGCATTTTAAAATGGATCTTGGTGTTCAAAGTAGATCTTTCTAAGGTTATGTTGTGTGAAGGGGCATTTCTCATTTCTAAAGTTCATTTTACTTTTTTTTCCCCCCTGGAATGTGTTAAAGTGCATCTTGTTGGTTAACTTGGAAATTGTCTTTTCTATGTTGAGTAAGGAAAATGTTAGGGTGCAGTGCATGTTGGAGGTTATAGCTGTAGGTAGAGGCTAGGCAGAATGTGAACAGTGTTGTTGTACTTAGTGTTTCTTTTGAGGTTCCTGAATGCTAAGCTTTTTGCTGTTTCTCCCGTCATTTTAGAAGGGCATCATTCCCAGACATTGAAGCTTTGACTTGCACTAGAATAAAGTATTTATTTCCTTAAAGATTTAACCGAGGCTTTGGATGAAGATGCAGACCCCACAAAATCTGCACTGTCCGCAGTTGCATCTTTGGCAGCTGCATGGCCACAGTTACACCAGGGTATGTGTGGGCTTTATTTTTCTGTTCGACTTTTTATTTGTAATTTTATAAAGGTACATTTTGCATTGCTGAGTATTTCTTGTCTATTCTAAATGACTGTCTCATTTTTAATAACTATAGGCTGCACTTTGAAAAGCTTGGACCTTGACAGCTGCACTCTCTCTGAAATCCTCAGACTGCACATCTTAGCTTCAGGTGCCGATGTGACATCAGCAAATGCAAAGTACAGGTATCAGAAGCGAGGCGGGTTTGACGCCACAGACGATGCCTGTATGGAGCTTCGCTTGAGTAATCCCGGCCTGGTGAAGAAGCTGTCAAGCACGGCAGTGTATGATTTGACACCAGGTAAACTTTGCAAGTTGGAATTTATATAGCACTTCCTGCCCTGTGGCACCCAGAAAACTAAGCAGCAAAGGAATGTAAGTTAATTACCCATTTTTTGACAGGAGAAAAAATGAAGATACTTCATGCTCTCTGTGGGAAGCTGCTTACTCTAGTTTCTACGAGGGATTTCATTGAGGATTATGTTGATGTATTACGACAGGCAAAACATGAGTTTCGGGAGTTAAAGGCAGAACAGCATCGAAAAGAGAGGGAAGAAGCCGCGGCCAGGTAAGAACTAATTAGTTGTGCTAATGAAACTGTTCATTGATTTAACTCCAAAACCACATTGTGCTGTAGTGCGACATGGGTTTACACTGGAATTTAGTTGCTTTTCTTAAAAACAAACAAACAGAAACACCTCACTGCCACTGCGTCCGTACTGACTCATAGTGACCCGCTGTGGGTTTCTGGCTGTTTCCGCGAGTAGAAAGCCCGGGCTTAATCCCGCAGAGCTGCTGGTGGTTTCTGATTGCTGACCTTGCGGATCACAGCCCAACACGGAACCACTACACCACTGTAGCCCAAGAACCGACTGCAATGATTGACGTATCACCCCAACCCCGCCCCCACCCCCAAGGGGGATGAACGACAGAAAGGTGGGCAAAGGGAAACAGTGGATGTGAAAATAATAATAATCTTAAAGATATTTAAGATATGAAAAGAATGGTAACATAATTTATCAGGGGTCCACGAGAGTGGAAGGGTCAGGGAGGGAGGGGGCGAAAATGAACTAATACCAAGGGCTCAAGCAGAAAGAAAATGTTTTGAAAATGATGGCAACATATGTACAAACGTGTTTGATATAATTGATGTATGATTTGTTATAAGACCTGTAAAAGCCCCCAATAAAATGATTTATTAATTTTAAAAAAGAAAGGTGGAAACAAGAAAATGTGATAGAAAGCCACGCCTCACTTATGGACATGGTTAGGTTCCAATGACCAGATCACTGTGTGAAAATGGAGTGTGACCATGCGGCCTCACCTATAATGTGAATGCCCTGCCAGGCCTGGGCCCCTGCTATGATCACCTGCCACAGTTGCCTCCAGAGAGCTCAGCCCCCCACTGCTGCCCTCAAGGGAAGACTGCCCAAGCCCAGTCTTCTAGAGCCAGGCCTCCACCCCATCCCTAAGGTCCTATCCGCTCCTGTTCTCACTCTATTTTCAAGACGAATAGCCCTGGCTTACCCCTTCTCTGAGCACAAAATGCCTATACTGGGCTTTGTCTGGCAGAGAACTCCCTGTGCAAGTGGGGAGGACGTAGGCACTGCAGGTGTGTGCAGACTGCCTAGCATGCACCCTACAAGGAGCAAGAGTTCTGAACTTCCTCCAGGTCATGGCGGCCAGGCCTGCCTCTGTACTTGGCCTTATATTGTAGCTGCCATGGTTAGCTCATGTCTATTCCTGTGGGCCTAGGCAACTTAGTGCCGTATTTCAGGGTTCCTTCTGACCACAGCCCAGCCTGTCCCTGAAACCCTTTGGGACTGGAAGCTAGGACCAAACTCCAGGGCCCCAATTCTTTTCCAACCTCAAGCCCGCTCTCGGAACACCAACTGCAGCTTGTCTGACCTCACTGCCCTGTGAACATCCATGAGTCCTGTCCTGCTGGCCCCATTTACTGTTGCAAATGCAAATGTCAGAGAGTGAAATAGTGAGGAGTAGATATCTATATAATGGAACATGAGCCATAAACATAAATGAACTCCTCATATATGTTGCAACATAGATTAATCTTAAAATTTATGCTGCGTGAAATAAGCAGCCACAGAAAGACAAATGCTATATGAGGACATGCAATTTCTAGAACAGACAAATGTAGAGATCAAAGTTCACTAGGGGTTACCGTGGAGGGGGAGATAGAGTGTCATTATTTTGGAACACCAAGCTTCTGTTCATTGTGTTAGGAAAATTTGGAAATAGATATTTATACAATATGATGAATGTAATTAGTGTCATTAATTGTATGTGTGGAAAATGTTGGAATGGTAAATATCTTATGTCTGTACTTAACACAGTTTTTAAAAAGGGAAACCTGGAAAGGGGGAGAGAAATTGGTGCCAGCATTACAGTTTTATGATGGTGTTTGGAGTGCTTCCCATAACTTCATGATAAAAAGTAAGATGTTAACATGTCTTTGCATGAGGCCATCCGCAATGCTTTATTCTTCACTTGTAGAATTCGTAAAAGGAAGGAAGAGAAGCTTAAGGAGCAGGAGCTGAAAATGAAAGAGAAACTGGAAAAGCTAAAGGAAGATGAGCAAAGAAATTCGACTGTAGACGTGTCTGTCGGGTATGGTTTGAATTTCAGTGCTTATCTGGAATAAAAATCAGACACCTTAACCACTCAACTGCTTATGTTTCAGAAAGCTGGTTTTCTATAAGTATGTAATTGTTAGTGAACCTGTCAGATTTATGCTATCAGTCTTCAAGTGTTTGTGTGTTACGTTAAATAAGGGTTGGGTTTTGTTTGTTTGTTTTTAGGCTATTTTTAAGAAATCTAGATCTCATTTTCCATTAATATAAATGTTAAAAGTTATTATTTTCCAATAATGTTCAAAACCGTAGTTTCATGTTGCTAGTAGTGGGGGAGCCCACACCATCACCACCATCACAGGTGTAGTTGTCTCAGGTGTGGTTCTCTTGGGCCTTACCGAGGAAAAAGGATGGCTTTAGAATTGTTGACAGAGAGCATGGGACAAGATGACAGCAACTTAAAGAATGTGATAAGTGCCTCAGTATTTTACTACCTTGTGAAGCATTCAGGGTGAGGATGTTGACAGAAACAAGTGGGCACGTGTCAGGGTGCACGATGCCAGTTGGTCCAGGGTAGTCCACAATGACGCTATGCCACATTTGGCTTTGGTGAGTAGCACTGGGGTCTTACATGGCTTGTGAGAAACCACCTAAGATAACACTATTAGTCTCTCCCCTTCTGGATTAAAGAGGAGTAAAGAAAATGAAAGACAGCACAGGAACAGTTAGTCCAAAGTTCTGGTGGATCACAGGACCCCAAGAGACCAGAGAACTAGGTACTGCCTGCCTCCCACTTCCGACAGCTCCAAAAAGAATCATATAAGAGGTCCTGCATAGGAGAGAAAAATGTGGAACAAAACCCCAAATCATGAAAAAAGACCAGGCTTACTTGTCTGATAGAGACTGGTAGAACCCTGGACACTAACCCTTAGACACCCTTTGGCTGTGGAACTGAACCCAACCTTCTCCCCCCGCCCCACCCAAAAAAAGACTCTGTTTTCAGCCAAACAATAGAGAAACCTCTAAGGTGAACAGTAATACCAGGGCAGTGCACCCTTAGGAGATCAACAGAGCAGCATTTGCCCGGGGGTAAACCTTAGAAGCCTAGTAGGACTAGGTAGGAAAGAAGATTGACCAGAAACAGTAAATACAGAGAGGATGAGAGGAGAGTATTGTTACACTGTAGAGATGGCAGTCAATGTTACAAAGCAAAATGCTTGTGGATTATTGAAAGGAAAACCAATTTGCCCTGTACACTTTCACCTAAATTACAAGGAGAAGGTGAAAAACTAAAGAAGTGGGGGAAATTTCCACATTTGAAGTAGAAAACCATCTTCAAATAAAAATAGAGCCCCTGGGTGACACAAATGGGGAAATGCTCGACTATTAGCCAAAGGGTGACAGCATGAATGTACCCGGAGGTGCCTCTGGACATGAGCCTCACCCATCAGTGACCACCTTTCTATTTGCAGCAACCGTTGTGCCACAAAATTGTGTTTGGTAACTTAAGTAAACAAATAATGGCACCTAAAGCCAACAACCAAAGGAAAAATCGATAAATTGACCCCATAAAAATTAAACATCTTCGTGTTTCAAAGGACATTATCAAGAGAGTAAAGAGACAACTCACTAAAGGGGAGAAAACATTAGAAAACCATATCTGATAAGAGCGTAACATGCAAAATATGCAAAGAAGTCTTACACTCACCAGTAAAAGGACTTATAGCTCAAAAATGGGCGCAGGTTTTAATTAGACATTTCTTCAAAAAAGATCTACAAATGGCCAATAAAACAAAACAAAACACTCCCACCATCTAGTCTATTCCAACCCTTAACCAGACAGAGCAGAGAGGGAGATTGCCGCAGCTTTCTCCCACAGAGCGGCTACACTGGTGGGTTTTAAACACGGACCTTTCTCCTAGCTGCCAAGTGATGTGACCGGTGGACATCAAGGCTCCTTGTAGTTGACCAGAAGCACGTGAAAATATGCCCAACTTCATTAGTCTGTAGAAAACTGCACATACAAACCACAGTGAGCTCTACCCTTGGACACCCACTAAGATGTCTGTAGTAACAAAAACAGTAGCACAACTGTTGGCAAGAATGTGAAAAAATTAGAAATCTCATACGGTGCCCTTGAAAATGTGAAACAGTACAGCTGCTTTGGAAACATTTGGCAGTTTCTCAGAAACTGAAACTGTGTGCTATGCCATATGTCCAGCAATTCCATATTCTCTCTCTCTCCAAGAGGAAGTAAAGCAATAGCAGCATGGCAGCATTATCCAGAATAACTTAACATGGAAGTGACCCAAATGTCCATCAACAGATGAATGGATCAAGAAAACTTTATATCCAGCCAGAAAAATGTTACCATGCTGCTACTGCTTTAGCTCCTCTTGGAGAGAGAGAGCACCCTGTATCATGGGTGAACCTTGGAAAGATAATGCTAAATAAAAGAAGCTGAGCACAAAAGGCCACATACTGCATAATTCCTCTCTCTGAAATACACAGAATCGGGAGAGAAATCCACAGAAACAGAACGTAGTTTAATGGTTGCCTAAGTTTAGGAGGATTGCTTATGAGGATGGGGCTGCATTCTGTGTTGATGAAAAATTTTAAAAGCAGGCTTTTCTTAACCCTGAGATTATAAATTTGGTTTTCCTTAAATGCTCCTTACACTTCTCCTATTTAGTACTTAATACACATTTTAATTTCATTATGATTTATGTAATTCATATGCTTTCTATGCAAGACCATGAACCCTGTGTTGTCAGCGATTGTGGCCATATTATTTATTGCTTCCTAGCATGCCTGGTGTTTAATAATCAGGCATTGAATACTTGATGTTCAAATTATGTGTTTGTATTTGTTATGTATTATGTATATGTTAATGAATGTAATCTTCTTATCCTTAAGGGAAGAAGAGAAGGAAGATTTTGATACAAGCGCTGAGAGCAAAGGAATGGAGCAAAAGGAACTAGATCAAGACACGCTGACTGAGGATGAAGACGACCCACGAACACATCAAAGAGGCAGAAGGGGTAATGTTGAATTTCTTAAAAGCACATGTTTATTTCTTTTTAACTGACAGGGAATTTTATTAGCTCAGCTATTTGATTTATGATTCCAGTGCAAGGTTTTTTTAACAGGTTTATTGGCATGTAGGTCACATACTATACAGTAGTTCTGTCACATCAAGAAGAGTTGTACAATCATCATCACAAGAAATTTTGTAAATTTTTTTGTTCTTGAACTCACTGTCATTAGCTCCCCATTTTCCCCAGCCTTGACTGCTACACCCTTAAGGAACCATTCATCCAGTTACTGTCTATAGATTTACTGTTCTGCGTTTTCAGCGATTTTTGCTTTAATGTCCAATTCAAATTACGATGGCTTATTAAAGTAGAGCATTTTGGTATCAAGTGGTGTTAGGAAGTCTTGTTTGCATGTTCACGAAATCTTAATTGCAGGAAGTTCTGCTGCCTCAGAGGTTAGTGAACTATATAGCCTGTGTTCATGAGCGATAGCCAGCTGTCCCAAATCTGGCTCACCACCTGTTTTTGTAAAAATGCTCTTCATATTTTTAAGTGGCTGAGTGAAAAAAACTTTGTCTAACACTTGAAAATCCTATGGAATTCCACTCATTGTCTGCAAATAAACTGAACACAGTTATGCCTTCAAACTGCGGGGGCAGAGCTGCGTGGGTGTGGCAAGTCCATGCGCTCCACACACCCCGAACTAGTTACTGTCCGGCCCTTTCCGAAGCTTGCTGCAGAGGACGGTCCGACTGGAAGATGTAAAACGACAAACTCTGTCACACTCCAACGTGGAGACGACAGAGCTTGTGTGGACTTCATTTCTTACTGTCTTGGGGTAGTTTTGTATATGATACTTTTCTGATAAACATTTGAAATACAGTACTGATAATAAACTTCACTTGTAGGGAGAAGGGGACATAATGGATTTAAAGAATTTATCAGGCAGGAAGAGATCAACTGTGTACCCAGAGGGTCTCTTCCTGCTGATGAGGAAGAAGCTCTGAAACAGGAACACCGGCAAAAGCAGAAAGAGCTGTTCGAGAAAATCCAAAGTGCCACAGCCTGCACCAACATCTCTCCCTTGGGCCGCGACCGGATGTATAGGCGGTACTGGATCTTCCCTTCTATTCCCGGATTGTTCATCGAAGAGGATTATGCTGGCCTCACGGAAGATATGCTGTTACCTAGACCTGCATTTCAGAATAATGTGCAGTCTCAAGAGCCTCAGGGATCCACTAAAACTGAAGGGTCTGAGTCTACCTCCAGCACTGACCAAGGTCCGCGTGATGATTCTGGGCCCCTGCCAAAACCGGTGCATAAGCCAAATCGATGGTGCTTTTACAGTTCTTGTGAGCAACTGGACCAGCTCATCGAGGCCCTGAATTCGAGAGGACATAGAGAAAGTGCCTTAAAAGAAACTTTGTTGCAAGAGAAAAACAGAATCTGTGCACAGCTAGTTCATTTTTCTGAAGAGAAATTTCATTTTTCAGGTAAATTTCCACTGAAAATTGTTCTCTTCCCCCCCCCCCCTTTTCTTTTTCTGTATAGTCTCTGGTCAGGAGTCTCCCTGGGTGGCACAAATGACTAAGCACTCGACGGCTCGCTGGAAACCACCACTCTGAAGCAGAAGCCCCGCGGTCTGCTGCCCAAAGGGCCCTGCCCAGATGAGGGCGCCCCTGTCAGGTTCTCTTGGGCGTGTAGGGAGCACATCAGACAGTGCAAGAAGACAGCTCTTCTTCACCTCCTGGTTCTTTGATTCGTAGACTCGGACAATGAGGGGGCTACTCGTGAGTGGTGGTGAGGGTCCAGGTGTAGGGTTCCTTTAGAGATCGCTGTTTTGAAAATGGGCTGCAAGAGCCAATTGGGTAGCAGCATTACCTGTTTGAGGGCTGGTCCATTGGTAAGGACGCCGAACGGCATTTTAGAGGTACGTTTTTATACTTCTAAATCAGATTCGATAGAGAACTGCTTAAATTTAGGAGCTTGCCATGACTTTTAGTTCTCTTCCGTAGATCATAGTCCTTGAATATAATTTCTAATTTCCTGTTCTCCATCTCCGTTCTCAACAATATACCCCACCCCATCCCCCACCTTCTTCGGCCCCTGCTTTTCTTTTCCTTTTTTTTTACAACCCCCTGCCCCATCCCTGCTTTTCTTATATTTGAATGTTTGTATTTATATCCATCATTTAAAAATGTTTAAAACTTATATGTCTGATTATAGGAAAACTTTGGTTGAGGCAAGGAGCACTTGAAGATTTTACAAAGTGCTTTTTATACCCATTGTCTCAACATTATAGCAGTCATATGGACTAATTATATTGTTTAATAAGAAAATTGTAATAAATGTTTTTTTATTATTATTTCAGACAAGTTTCAAAATGATAACAAACCTGTGTGTAATCGGGGAAGATCTTCCAGTGCATATGACCCTTCTCAGGTGTCTGCAGAAAGGCAGCTTGAATTGAGGCTTCGAGATTTTCTTTTGGACATTGAAGACAGAATCTACCAAGGAACATTAGGGGCAGTCAAGGTTTGTACCTCCTCCATTGGTTTGCTTTGTTTACTTGGTTCAGGATTTTAGTTGTATTTGTTTATTGTATGTAAGCAAGACATGTACATTTTAAATAAACAGCAGGGATTGGTTTTTTGGGGGGGAAAACTGTTCCTCTGCATCAAATGTTATAAAAGGGTAAACGTCTTTTCAAATATGCCGATGGATCTTTGCCTTCTGAGGTAGAATTGAATGGCTGTAATTGGCCTCTTAATATCAATCTGTAGGTGATTGCCGCTTCACCAGCCTGTTCTGTGCCTTCCTTTGCCATCTTGCTTTTTTGCAACTGTCAGAGAGCCAGTGTTTAGAATTGTTCGTGATGATGATTCTTCATGAATTCTGAGTAAGGTTTTAAAGCTTTCATCTCTGAGTGATTTGAGTTCCATATTGGCCACTTAGTAACCTTATTTTAAGATTCTTTTTTGATTCTTTGTCTGCTCTAGACTACACATGAATTTTTCATAGGTACATTGTACCTCATTCAACTTAGCGGCAACATGGGCTATTTTGGGTGGTTAGTAAATGTGGCTTTCTTCACAGGTTACAGATCGACATATCTGGAGATCAGCCCTAGAAAGCGGACGGTATGAGCTATTAAGTGAGGAAACCAAGGAAAATGGGATTATTAAGACTGTGAATGAAGATGTAGAAGAGATGGAAATTGATGAGCAAGCAAAGACCGTTGTAAAAGACAGGTACAAAAAGGGGTGTCTGCACTGACCATTGCTGGAGTTTTTTCTATTGTCTTTTGCCACTTAAGTATTTTTAGAGTATATGTTTTAATTAAAGCAGAGCATATTTCTTTTTTTTTTTTTTTTTTTTTAAACATTTTATTAGGGGCTCATACAACTGTTATCCCAATCCATACACACATCAATTGTGTAAGGCGTATTTGTACATCATTTCTCAAAACATTTTCTCTCCATTTAAACCCCCGACATTAGGTCCTCACAGAGCATATTTCTTTATCCTCAAAAAAATTTTTTACACCTATTGTAAAGACCTTGGTATTTGTAACCACTGTAAAAAGGGTGTGCGGGGCAGTGTCTGGCCTCTGACTTTACAAGGGAAGAGAATCAAACTCCACCTCAGCGCAAGGCTGATTTCTGTGAGGCGAAGGTCAGGCATGCCTCCAGCCTTCTGTACCAGTTCTCACACCGGCCGGCCGGCCCAAAGCGCTCTCGGCTTTTCTGCCAGGTTCAAGAGCGAAGTCATTGCAGTGGCCACACAGAGCTCATAGACCAGACTCACATAGAAGTTTATGAGGGAAGTTAACGAGTTACACTGGGCCTTGGTGCTCTGCCTCTTAAGTTCTACTGCTGCTGCCACCTCTGGTATCAGAGCTCTGTTTCCTGAATCAAGGCATTTTCAAACGTAGGGGTCTTGGGGGTTCAAAGGACTCACTTCTCTCTGGGCCTTTCTTACTTCATAGCAGTGAGATTTCCTACTTCCGAGATGGCTCTTTTTAGACTCAGCAGGACAGCAAACTTGACCAATCCCCAATTTTTTAAAAATCATTTTATTGGGGGCTCATACAGCTCTTATCATAGTACATACAAGCACATTTGTACATTTGTTGCCATCATCATTTTCAAAACATTTTCTTTCTACTTGAACCCTTGGTATCAGTTCATTTTTTCCCCTCCCTCCCTCATGAACCCTTGATATCTTATAAATTGTTACTGTTTTTTCATGTCTTGCACTGACTGATGTCTCCCTTCATTCACTCCCCAATTTTTTGCAATCACAGTTAACCCTGTTAGCAACCACTCATAACTGGAGCATATAATTCTGCCAGTATCTTCTCGTACCCAGATCCATGGAGAAACAAAGGAATGTCCCAGTCTTTGTGGTCTTATTTGGTGAGAGCTATGAAGACTGTGGCTAAAGGGGTAATATAAAGTCAGTCACTGACCATACGCTGACTTTCTAAGCCTCGGGGCCTTTTATTCTACTGTGTAAGCAACGCGGCCTAAAACCCAACTCAGTAGAACAATACCTTGTTAGGGTTTGTTTTTTGTTTGCTTTGTTTTTTTAACTTGGGTTTTTTGTTGTTTTTGTTTTGTTTAATTTCAGAACAGTTTTATATATCCGTTTTTCTTCTCAGTAGGAAAACTTACTGACATGTAATAGAATTTCAGTGAATGAGTTTGTACATTTTAATTTTTAAAAAATAATCTAATAATTTTATTGGCATGTAATCCATATCTCATACAATTTCATAGTCCAGTCATATAAGAGTTGTACAACCATCACAACAATTTCAGAACATTTTCTTTCAAAAAAGAAAAACAATTTTATTGGCACGTAATCCACATACCTTCACTTCAATAGTTCAGTCATATCGAGAAGAGTTGTACAATCAATTTGGGTACACTTTCTTGTACTCATTGTTATTAGAGTTTGCACTTTTAGATGATCATTTTAGCTTGAGTGTAGAGATTTATTGCAGAAGTAGTAAAATTGGAAGCTAATGAAGGAGGAGGGGGGTAGTCAAAGGGCCCTCCCCATTAAAAGTGGAAGCAAGGGGAAATATAGATAGCAGAAGCATTTCGTTTAGACCCATCACAAGAATCCCCTCTTTAAACCCTTTCCCTTAAGTGTCACCTCGTTTGCTTTCCTCCATATATTTGCCCTCTGTGCTGTGTGACTTTATTAACATTTCTTTTAGCTCTTAACATATTTATCTTTTTTCCTTATTAGCTTTTGAAAGCTCTTTAAGATTGAGGAAACTGTCTTATACAGACACATTTGAATAACGTAGCAGACATAAGTTTCACCTAGTAATTAAATATCATCAACTCTTTTTTTGTTTTAATTACAGACTTTTGGGGATAAAAACAGAAACGCTAAGTACTGTGTCAACTAATACAAGCACACCCCAGTCAGTGAGCAACGTGGTGCGTTTCCTGGCCACGGCACTATTTCAAATAGAGCAGGGCATTGAGAGGCGTTTTCTGAAAGCTCCACTTGGTAAGTATTTGTTATTATTTCAAAATAGTACTAAAGCTTCACTGACTAGCACAGTAAAACTCATTGTCTTCCCATGGGGCTTATGCAGACTAAGTTGAAATAACTTGAAGGTGTATTATCATTTAAAAATGAGTTCTTGATATGATTGTTTTAATTACACAAATATCATTTTAAAAATTTAGTCTAGCTTTTTTCTCTCAAAAAAATTTTTAAATCATTTTATTGGGAGCTGTTACAGCTCTGACCACAATCCATACATACATCCATTGTGTCAAGCACATTTGTACATTTGTTGCCATCATTTTCAAAACATTTTCTTTCCACATGAACCCTTGGTGTCGCTCCTCATTTTTCCTTCCCTACCCCACCCTGCCACCCTTGTGACCCCTTGATAAATTAGAAATTATTATTTTCATATCTTACGCCATCTGCTGTCTCCTATAACCCATGTTTCTGTTGTTTGTGCCCTAGGGGTAGGAGGTGGGGTGGGTGTTATATGTTGATTATTGTGATTGGTTCCCCCTTTCTCTCTCCACCTTCCCCCTACCCTCATGGTTTCACTACTCCCATTACTGTCCCTGAGGGCCATATCTGTCCTGGCTTCCCTGTGTTTCCAGCTCTTATCTGTACCAGTGTACATCCTCTGGTCTAGCCAGATTTGTAAGGTAGAGCTGAGGTCATTACAGTGGTGGGAGGAAGCATTAAAGAGCTAAAGGAATATTGTGTGTTTTGTCGGTGCTGAACTGCACCTTGGCTAATTCATCCCTTCCTTGTGACCCTTCTGTGAGGGGATGTCCAATTGTCTACAGATGGGCGTTAGGTCTCCTCTGACCCCCTCGTTCACACCGATATGATTGTTTGTTTTGGTCTTCTAATGCCTGATGCCATCAATACCTCATGATCGCAAAGGCTGCTGTGTTTCTTCCATGTTGGCTTTGTTCCTTCTGTGCTACATGCTACTCTCAAGCATTTTTTATGTTGTCTCATTCTAAACACTTTTCATTTTGTTTTTAGCTGGATATGCCCATAGCTCATCAATAAATGCTTACTGAGTATGCATTCAGTGACTCCTTGTTGTGTTTTAAGAACATTCCAATTTTTAACATATTTTCCATCCCTTCTGTAAAACTTTACCTAAAAGAAAAGTTAACAAAACTGACTACCTACACTTTAAATAATAAAATATTATGCATATTTCTCCTGTTAGCTAAGAAAGAACCCTAAGAAGCAACTTACATGCCCCCCAATAGGAGTATAGTTTAGTAGCATGGGTCACTAATTTGAGCACTGTCTGAGGTTGTCAATTCCTGTAGAGTCTGTTTTGACCCACAACCTTCTGCGTGCAGACAAAGAACTGTTTCCAAGGCAGTCACCTTTCAGAAGCAGGTCACTTCACAACCGGTCAAAGGCACATCTGGGTGGTTCAAACTGCTTGTCTTTCAGCTAGTAGTTAACTGTTTCACTGTCTGCACTACCCAGAGACTCCCAGCGTTGTTTGTTTTTGTTACTGTGTGCTATCAGGTTAATTCCAACTCATAGAACTGTCCCCTAGGGTTTGAAATCTTCATGAGAGCAGATCCCTTGGCCTTTCCTCCACTGAGCAACCGAGCACTCGATCCGGAGTACCGCCTGTAAAAGGGAATACCAATGAGGAAGTGCTCAAAAAGAGCTCTTTGAAGGGTTATGGAAATACTAGACATAACAATTTTTTGAAGCCATCTCTTGGGACTCATTAAGAAAAGTTAAATTAACTGTGCTTCATTAAATAGTTATTTGAATAGTACCGTGTTAAGTAATAAGAACATAGTTTTCATAAATTGATTATGCTGTCGGAGCAATTTTGTAGTGTCATGAACATATTTGTAGATTGATATTTTTATTTTAAAATGTGTGACCATTAGCATGTTACTTACTGGTTTAAGTCTATTCTTGTATTTTTATTGACAATTTCTACCCTGAGCATAATAACTCTTTTCACATTGAAAAGTACCAATTGTGAGGGAGAACATATAATTTCAAGCTCACAAAACCATTTTTAAAGTTAGTATTTCCTATCTTTTCCTATTTCTTTTATTACCCCATCTTAAGCTTCTAAGTATCTTCTTTGTCCAAATCAAATTAAGAATGCAAGGGTTCCCTCTGTATTATTTTTTTATAGTTTCAATATTAATCTATAATTCTCTCAATTAAAATTTAGGTTAAAAGTTTATTTTTAAATTATGCCGTTTTAAAAAATGTAAAATATTGTTTTTACTTATTAGTCCTGGAGTCTCAAGAGGGTAAAAGAGAAAACACAATTCCACTGGTTTTCCCATTTCTAAAATTGCAAAGTTGTTTATAAGTTCAAGAGGAAAAAATCAAATTGATTGTTTACTCCATATGTGTTTTGGTTCTACCTTTTATTCAATATGTTTTTAAAGGGAAAAAATAACACTGGTTGATGTTTCAGCTTGTGTCTACCTGGTTTATGAAAACTGAGAGTCACACTGTTCTCTATGTGGTTCACATACAGCAGTGTTAAGCAAGAATCATTTCCCATTGAGTGAGCAAAGAAACCACTTTAATTTGTGATTTCAAAAAATAAATAGAGTAAGAAAAGCTCATGTGCCCTCATTTAAATTGGTAAACATTGATTCTTTGTAATATGGCTTCCTGACTACCATTGCCATCCCCTTTTTTTGTTTGTTTTGTTTTTCTTGATTTTATTTTATTTTTAATCATTTTATTAGGGGCTCATACAACTCTTATCACAATCCATACACACATCAATTGTGGAAAGCACATTTGTACATTCATTGCCCTCATCATTCTCAAAACATTTCCTCTCCACTTAAGCCCCCGATATTGGTCTTCATTTTTCCCCTCCCTCCCTGCTCCCCCCTCCCTCATGAGCCCTTGATAATTTATAAATTGTTATTTTGTCATATCTTGCCCTGTCTGACGTCTCCCTTTACCCACTTTTCGCTTGTCCGCCCCCCAGGGAGGAGGTCACATATAGTTCCTTGTTATCGGTTCCCTCTTTCCTACCCACTCCCTCTACCCTCCCAGTATCGCCACTCACACCACTGGTCCTATAGGGATCATCTGCCCTGAATTCCCTGTATTTCCAGTTCCTATCTACCAGTGTACATCCTCTGGTCTAGCCAGACTTGCATTGCCACCCCTTTAAGAAGCTAAAGCAGCTGCAATTTTTAAACCTTTGATCAGCCTGTTTTGAACGGGTCAGCAAGAAATAGTGGTATCTGAATTTCAAGGTAGTCCAAGTATTTGGAGTAAAGTAATCAAAAATAACTTTGAGAAAGACGGGAAGGATCGACTTTTGTGAGGTGAAATAGCTTACATTTCAAATAGCACATTAACTCTTGTAAGGTGTTTTCCTGGCTTCAGAGATTATTTCAATTTCTGGAAGTAGCAAAGACATTCTTGTTACTTTCCACTTTTCCTAGCATGTCCCTTTTCTTTCAGTTATCCATCATTGATAAAACTGGGTTGGTTGGGTGGTTTTCAATTTGAGGGAGATAATAAAGATATGCTTATGGTTACACCCATAAGCTATGAAAGGCCGCTCAAACTAACTTTATCAATTTGAAATTAGGTAACAAAGAAATTAATAAAGATCAGAGGGGAGATAGAAAAAAAAAGGACAAGAAAAAGAGAGAGGAAGATCAATCTAGTGTGAGAGATGGTAAATTTTTAACTTTTTAAAGAAACTTCTTTTGTCTTTTTAAAGAATTAAGATTTTATATTCTTTATCTCTGAGTGCTGACTTGAATATATAGAGATTTTAAAGGAGAACCTTGGATTTGATATATAGAGATTTTAAAGGAGAACCTTGGATTTGAATTTTGGAAGGGAATGGAGTTGAGGACAAGCTTACAAATCACTAGGAGCTTCCTAAAGTTTTCCTTTCTACTTCTCACACCTCAGCTAACCAAATAGGCTTAAACTAGAGTGTAAAAAGTTGATGAGATTAATGAAGACTGATAGTGTTAGCTGTAAATAAAAAGAATGAACAGCTAACAAATATGTGTTTACTTATATCACCTATAAAAGCTTTTTGTTGTTTTTATAGCCTAGGCAAACCTACAGGGCAGGGTTTTTCTATGTTTTGTGCCTTAGAGAAATCTTCCTACCGTGATAACATGCTTTTGCTGCATAGAGGCAATAAACTATGAAATCTTCCCAGTGTGGGGTATTATTAATTTCTTGAGGCATTTATCTCTGTAAAACAGAAGAAATGTTTGTTGAGAAATGTATAAGAGAAACAAGAAGTAAGGTTTAAGGGTAACAATTACCAAAAAGATACAGTCAGTTGTATGGATTGTTTTTATCCTTATTCAAATGCCATATGAAAATTGATGACTATGGGCATCTGTTGTGGACTCTCATGTTTTTTTTAGATGTTCTTGAGTTGGATCCAACTGATAGCAACTCCGTGTACAACACAACAAAACACTGCCCTGTGTTGAGCCTTCCTCTCTGTGATTATATCTGAGCCCACTGTTGCAACCACTATGTCGGTCCATCTCATCAGGGTCTTCCTCTTTTTCACTGGCTTATGATGTCATTTTCCAGGGACTGGTTTCCTGATAACATGTCCAAAGTGTCAGGTGAAGCCTCACCATCCCCATTCTACAGAGCATTCTGACACTACTTTCTCTAAAATAAATTGGCTTGTTTCTCTGGCAGTCTGTGGTATTTTCAATATTTTCCACTAACGCCGTAATTCAAGTGTATCCGTTTTCCTCTCCAGGTTTCACACAAAGAGGCCGCTTATTTGTAAAAAAAAAAAAAAAATACCCTGGCTTGGATTGGACACACCTTAGTCCTCAAAATGACATCTTTGCTCCGTAACACTTTAAGTAGGTCTTGTGTAGCAAATGTGCCTGATGCAGGGAGTATAGGACAGGATACAGCCATGATGCAAACCTTTCTTAGTTTTGAACAGTTTAGTTCTTCCTTGTTCTGTTCAAACGGCTGCTTCTTGGTCTGTGTACAGG